TTTAATACAAAGTTATGGGCACAGTAAACATGAGCACAGAGTTGTGATGAACTAACAATAAAATCTGTGAGCACTGCAAAGATTTCTCTGAGAACATCTCATTTTCCAGTCTGCTCACAAGGGAAGATGGAGAAAAAAAAATGACCTGATAAGTTAAACAGTAAAAATTCAGAGTCCATTTGGAAAGGTCCTTTATATATTCACAGCCTTATCTCTTGCTGTTAGTCTAAATGCAGCAGCATTTTTAGAATATATGATGCCATTAATAAGTGGAAAGGGGAAAAAAAAGCATTAAGCACTCAAGAGTCCTTCATCTTCCACTATTGTCTTATAAAACTTCCATTTGTCAGGAAGCTCCTTTTGTAATAAAGGAGATTTAAATTAACATTTATCTGCACATCAGGAAACCAACACAAGAGGATGCTAGGAGTTAAGTCTTTTTCTATGGTAAAAAGCTTGGAGTTTCCTACCAGTGGTAAAACCCTGACCCTAACGAAGCCATCAGGAGTTCTGCCATTCTGCCCGTGACTGAGCCCAGGTATTCAGTGCTGCAGTGAGAGCACAGTGAGCTCCTCTCATGCCCAGGGCATCTCCAGGGTGGGGACAATGCTAGGAGTTGCTGTTAGAACAGGAAATCCAAACACAACTAGGGAAGGCCTATCCCTCCAATAATTCATCCATGAAGCCAGTCCCCAACATGCACAGTGTCCCACTGATGCCAGTCACTTTCTCCACAACCTTGGTGCCCACTTTAGCAATCTAACATCAAGGCCTGTAAACGACAAACTACTTGGTAGTGTCTGACTTTCTGCAGGGAGGGAGGTCATTTTGTCTCATCCTTGCTTAGCTTTGATTGCATTAGAGTGACATCAAGATGCAATAATGTTCTCTTTTCACGTTTTGCAAAAAACGACCACCAAATGTGTGAATTTCCTGTTTGCAAGTTTTACATTCTCTAAGTGACTGGGCAGCAGTATGTCTTTCAAAGGGGCTAAATGTCCCCTCCAGGGACCTGAATCAAATCCTGGTCCCACTCACATCAGTAAAAGCTGTACTATTGACTTCATGGGACTCTGCCAGGTTTCTTCCCTCCACAAAACTTGAGCGAACTCTGGAAGGTTGGAAGAGGACAGTTTTTTGTTCTGTCTCTTTCTCCTCCTCCAACAGCAAGATTTACCTTAAAACAAGAACACTGTAATGGCTAGTGGAAAAAAATGAAGTACAAAAATCACACACCGTGAAAGCCTCCTACACTCTTTTGGTAAGATATATGAAGACAACTTCTTACATTGTTCTTTTCTCAAAAGGCAATATACAATGTGGCAAAATATTTCAAATATACATTCTATATAATAAAATATCATCTAACTAGTGCATCCTCAATCATATGCTGGAAATATTTTTACCAAGCCAAGGTTTAAAATCCATAAATCTTTTGAACACTAGGTGCTTCATTCAAGGCAGATTCAACAGCAAGTAAATCCCAAGCTCACTTTTCAAGCCTTAAAAGGTAGCAATGGATGGAACATGACATGTTATGACCCACAACAGAAACGAACAAACCTAGTGGTGAGAAACCACTGTGATGGTTCAGCACTCCACAGAACTCTGCACTGCAGGCTGCTGTACTTGACCAAATGGGGGATATGTTTGTACACACAAAGTCACCTTGTCAGACTGACACACAGCCAAACGTGATTATTCACAAGTTAAAAATAAAAATATAAAAGGTCAACATTCACAGGTCCATTGATTCAAGGGAATAAATTAAGCCTCTGATAAGTTGCATACACTGTTTCCTTCACCCTCAAGTCTCATTTAAGCCTATACAAGGAACAATACTTTCCCAAACACTTCTGAAGTGGCAAAAACAATGAAGGTTTTTGCACTTTAGCTGTGTTGACAGTAAGGTCATCCTTGCCAATTATGAAGTGAGACAATTCGTGTCTCTTTAGCATCAGTGCACAGGGTATGGCTCCAAGTGGTGTGTTGGAGGAAGAAGAAACAACACGGTGGCTTAACAAAAAACAAAACAAACTTCTTCCATTCATCATTGGCAGAATAAAATAAAAGTGTATCTTGTCCAGGGTACCTTGCTAGGTCCTCTCCAGAAGAGGTATGTACTGTCATACATAAATGCCCTCTGGGTTAAAACCAGACGACAGGGGATTCTGTAGGATCCGAAGGTTGCTGGGGAGCTGCCTTGATGAGCCAGGGCGCTTCAGGGACCCAGACTGAAATGTTGGCTCTGCAAAAGAAGAAAGGCAGCAAGAAAGTCATCCTTGGGGGCGACATCTACAGAACATGTTGAGTTTTCTTTGATGAACAACCCAAAATGAGCCGGCAGTGTACACCTGCAGCCCAGAATCCTGGGCTGCATCAAAAGGAGTTTGGCCAGCAGGTCAAGGGAAGTGATTCTTTCCCTCTACTCTGCTCTTGTGAGACCCCACATGGAGTACCATGTACAGTTCTGGTGTCCCTAACATAAGAAGGACATGGAACTGCTGGAGCAAGTCCAGAGGAGGCCGTGAAGCTGATAAGAGAACTGGAGCACCTTCTCTACAAGGACAGGCTGAGAAGGCTGGGGCTGTTCAGCCCCGAGAAGAGAGGGTTGTGTGGAGACCTCACAGCAACCTTCCAATATCTGAAGGGCCTACAGGGAAGCTGGAGAGCGACTCTTGGTTAGGAACTGAAGTGACAGGACAAGGAGTAATGGGGATAAATTGAAAGAGGGAAATTTAGATTAGATATTAGGAAGAACTTTTTTCCTGTGAGGGTGGTGAGACACTGGCACAGGTTGTCCAGGGAGGCTGTGGCTGCCCCAACCCTGGCAGTGGTCAAAGCCAGGGTGCTCTGGTGGGAGGTGTCCCTGACTAGGGCAGGGGGAGGTGAAACTAGACAATCTCTAAAGTCCATTCCAACCCCTTAACATACTTTGAAACTATGAACACCTCTCCTCCTCCTGCTTAGTGCAGTGTGTGCTTAGTGTGACACAGAAAAACTCATACCACACGTAACAAACAATTGAAATGCCTATCTAGGAAGTGATGAGATCTGAGGTGCACACTTCCTACTCCAAAACAGAAAGATTTACCTAGGCAAAATAATTGCTCCCCCACAAGGAACGTAAACACAGATACATTACAATACATTTATACTTCAATGTGCAGAAAGAGCTTGTATCTATATGGAACTCATAGCTTCATCTTGCTGCCCACTTAAAAGAGACAGTTCATGCAAGTGCTGCATTTTAAGGCCTGGCTGTCTTTGCTTCCTTCCCCATCCCCAGTGCCTTTTGGTTAGAAAGTTTTCCAAGAGGAAGAACAGAACCAGCTAAGGAGAATGCTGAGATGAATGCCCTCCTTGCAAGCAGAATACTGGGTAAAGCACACCACAGCAAAGGGGTTCCTGCTTGTGCCATAGCTCTGACATGCATTTGAAATGCTCCCACATTTCTGTCCAGGGAATTCTGAACTCAGACATAGGCACATGCAGGTTGCACTGATCTCACCAGGGGCACATGCTGTAACAGCCATCTGTGCAGGACTTCTGGATGGCTGGCAGCCCAGCTGGATTAGCTCCTACTCCTGTGTGGCTGCTGTCTGGGATTTCTTGAGATCCAGACACATTCCTTTTTCTGCTTTGACAACACACCCCAGCAGAAGAGGAAGAGCCCAGATGAACAGCAGTGTCGGACGTGCCAGCTGACACGCCTGCAGCCACGGTGGCCACTCTTGAAAGTTACTGGCTTAATGGGTTGCTGATGGGACAAACACATGCCTAGGCACAGTGGGAGAGAAGCTATCCACGTGCTGCTCCTTATTTATAGCTTGCTAAACTCTTGGAATGAAAAAAAGTATTTGACAATGTGCTTTCTTACTACTTTGCTAAGATGTTTGCTAACAGGGCATTCCCTTCGCATTCAAGTGCTGGCATTAAGCAGCAGGTAACAGCACTGCCAGCCCCTTCTCCCTCCCACCCAAATCATTCCAAGTGCTGCACCTCTCTCGAGCTCCACGCGTGGGGCCTCCACCTCAACGGGGTCTGCTGGCAGCACCGTCACCTTCGTTCCTGTTTGCTGGATGAACTGTTGCAGGTTGACCTGTCGCAGCTCCTTTGTCAGTTGCTCCAGTTCTTGTTCCCTGTCCTGCCAGGTGAGAGAAAACATCTGCTGAGCAGCAGTGAGCATAGAAAGCAGCATTTCAAGACTCTCTTTACAGCTGGATAACTAAAGCTACTCCTTTTGATGAGAAAGCCTCCAATATTTAAGTACAAATGCACATTGGATAGTGGAAAGGTATTTCAATATCCTAATTTAAAGAGTGAGTCAACACTCACTATTAGTAGGGTTTACTACTTCTTTTTAAATATACTGCTTTTCATACTGCTTCTGGGGTGACTTGATGTTTCTCATATCACCTGAGAAAATATCTGGCACATCAGCGAATAGAGGTAACAGTGTACACTCTGAAAAACTACATCAACAGTTGGACTTGATCTTAAAGGTCTCTTCCAACCTTGATGATTCTATGAATCTATGAACTGAGCAGTCTGGCACCAAATCTTAGCTCTGCCCAAAGTGTCCAGAATGGCTTTGACAGCTCATTTAGGTCCTCTGATCCTGAAAGACTAATAATTCCTTTCTCTTCTTGTTGTTTCTTTTTCCTATTTAATTTTTATGGACAGAACCTTCTCAGATTGCAAGTGTTTTGCGCAATGGGGCCAAATCCTGTCTGGTTTACCACATATTCCCATGCACAGGGGATAACCATTCAAGATCTTCCTCAAGGCTCAGTAATTCTGGCATGATATGCTAAACCTACAGCTCTGATAGATTATGACAGTTTTAGACTACAATTATTCCCCTCCCTCCTCCCCTCACAAGTTGAGATTCATTAGGAGACAACTGCATGTGGTACTATTCCACAGCCAGGATGGACTTCCAACTATCTGGCCACACAGAATGGGCTACCCTGATGCCAGGCAGCACATCTGAGGGCATTTCTCTTCAGCAAGTACTGCTATACCTTCATTTTGGCAAGAGATGGAGGTTGGGTCACCTTCTTTTCCCTAATTATCTTGTGTAAGCAGAACTGTACATAAACTCACACAAAGGTTGGGGAGAACAGTTTTGTGGATCTGTTTTAGGAACAGTCCTCAACAGCACATCCCATATTCAATTTCAGCATGCAGCAAGGTCACAGTTGAGGCTGAATTCAGCAATAAGAAAATTAACACAACTGCTCTGATGTCCAAATTAGGACCTTTTAAATGCCAATTGCTTTGTCACTGATGTGTGATGGTTTTATCTGTTTAGTCAATGCATATCATGTAATTGGTCTCAACTTCCCAGACTTGTGTTTGCATTCACTGGCTAGGAGCTTTTGGAGAAAATGAATGGAGAAGTGGAAGCCAGGCCACCTCCAAATTTTTAAGACTATACTACAGAAAAATTCTTCAATTTATTTTATGCCCATTAGACTCTACAACTGGGCACTTGGGACACAGGAAGTTCTCAACTGTCTTTACTTACTACAGTGTTAACTCTGCAACTCTGTGTTTTATGAGACTGGAACAGAGCTGCCACTGAAGGAAATTGTAGGGGTTTTAAAAAAAATTACTGAAGCATGCAGGTTAGCAGAACTAACATCATAAATAACTTGTTCTTGAATTTCACAACTTTCACAGTAAGTAAGGCAAAAATGTCATGTATGGTTTAAGGTCTTAAATTTAGTATCTCATTGTGAAACGTTAGGAAGATCTTTTACCTGGAAAAGGATGAGATTTGTGTTTTGGTTGTTTTGGGGGGGGGCTGGGGGGGTTTATGGGGGGTTTTTTTGGACTTAAAATCTTTACAAACAGGGAGAGCAGAGTGTTGCCTCTGATCCTTAACTGAACATAGCCTCGTGATTGGAGTTACATTACTGAGGTGGCTACAGGAAAGGCATAAAAGAAGTAGGCAAAATTAGTAGAAATTTCTCACTAAAACAATTCCTCCTTCCTGTTCTCAACATATTAGATCTAGTGAATCAAAATTTTCTTTCCTTCCTTACACAAAGCTCTATAAAAACACCCATGCTCAACTCTTCTAGTTTCAAACCAGCGGTTCTGTGAATATTAATATTTAACTTTCAGCATGCCATAAAATATTTCTCTATTTCCTCTCCCCAAAGCTCCACAATACAGTGCTCAGTTTATTTCCTCCTGAATTTCCATATTTGTACACCTTTAGGTTTAGAACAAGCTTGGAAGACCTGGATTATAACGGGAACTTTCCCAAAAAAGTGAAACCCTAGCCTATAAAAAAGGACCAAGCCAGAAGTACTTTGACCTTCATCACAGCCTCAGTCACTGTCAGGAAACTTAGGATAGATAAACATGGCCAAAATTGCTTACAGTTTTCATCCATTTTACTTGGGATGAAAAGATTACTTTTTTACCCCTCATCACTTAATAAAAACAGCTCATACTGACATGGTTCTAGGTGCTCAGGAGTAAGGATGCAAAATCCCATTGCATACTCACAGTAGAACCACCTTAGTGCAACTACAGCACTGTGGAAAATACTAACTGTGAATCCTGGGAATCAGCAAGAATCACAGCTGCAACTGATGTGTGGTGCCTCAGTCCTATCTTAAGTGGCACCTGAAAATCCCAGGAGCCCCAATCTTTCCTTCACCTCATCCAGCTAGCAGCTGGACTTCCATTTATTCTTTCATGCTCTCTAAGTTCCAGCTGGTATCATTAACTTCAGCAAGGGAGCAGGGACTGGATTCTCTTTTGACACATGTGCCACAAATGGCCTGAGGTGCAGAGAACATCAAGTCAGCCAGGAAAAGGGGAAGGGCTGTTCTTTAAAACAAAAGCCCTGTAAGGTAACAACTACTATAGGTGCTGCTTTTGGACTGCTCTTTTTAATTAACCTCTTTGGATGGCACACAAAGCTAGCAAGAATCACAAGTTTAGCCTCAGAAAAGGCTATGATGGTGCAAATTTTCCAGAAATTTAACAAAAGCACTGAGCTGCTAAGATCCAGGACTTATGTCCTCAGGATATCTAGCCTCACATCAACAGGGGTTTGAAGACTAATGCTTTTAAAGGTGTTTGGCCAAGAGCACTATGGTCCCGTTTCTCACCCTGCAGTACAACAATCCCCTACCAGCCCTACATGTGCTGGAAATATCACTTGTCTGTGTTTCTCAGAGGTCACCAGGCAGCCAGGGAATGGTAGCAACCTAAACCTGTAACTGGTGGTAAAGAAACTGAGCCAGCACATAAATAAGGAAAGGTGTTGTGGCCCTTGGCACTAACCCTGCAGGCCACCCTGGCTCTCTGCGTGGCCACTCAAACATCTGCTCATTTATCTTGACACAAAGGACTAAATACTATTTTTCTCCTCAGATGGTTTGAATGAGCAAATTACACACAGGTGAAATGAAAACTGTCTGCCTTTCAAAAAACCCATTTGAAATGCAATTTGAAAATAAAGCAACAGTTTCTTCCTTTTGCTCCAATTCACTGAGGAAACTTTCTCCTGTTTTCTTTCATGGGCTCCAAATCTGTGTAAAAGAAATTTGTCACGGTCACATCTTTGACTTTTCCTTAGCTATGGATAAAAAGACAGTCTTACCTGTAACCGCTTGGTGGCTTGGCCCAAAGACCTTTCTACAGCTTTAATGCCATTTTCCAGTCTCAGGCTCTGCTGGCCCTGAATATCAATTTCACCCTTCACCTTCTCAATCTTTTCCTTGACCTCTTCTTCATTCACTTGGGACTCCTGAACTTCCCGCTGCAGTTTCTCTGCTTCAAGGCCACTCTCCATGTTGTGGATCTGAGACATGTAGTCCTTCAGCTTGCCCTCGCACTCCAGGATCCTCTGCCTCATCTCCTGCAGCTGCTCCTTCAGCTGCTTTTCATTCTCCTGTTCGATCTGCAGCTCGTTTTCCCAGAATTCTTCCTCCTCAATCTCCACTTCGTTCCGTTTGATCTTCTGCTCCAGCTTGAGGATTTCTTCTTCCAGGCTCGCGTTGTACTTCTGCTCCCAGAAGCGAATCTCGGCTTCGTTGGACTCCAGCTGCTTCTCGATGCACTGAAGCTTCTCCGTCTGCAGGTGGATCAGTTTCTTCAACTCATCCGCTGTTGTTTTACAGTTGTTAAGCACCTTTTGCTTGAACTCGGATTCCTTGCTCTTCCCAAAAATGTCCATTAACCCCTTGGCGCCTCCGGTGAAGGTGAGGGATTTCCTTTTGGGCTCCCTCCTCTTCATGGACTTATCCCCAGACGGCCTGAGCTTGGCCAGGGGCGGCAAGCTCTGCCGGTACAGCGTCCTCTCGGGGATGCGCGCCACGCTGTCGGACGTGGGGCGCTCGCTCAGGGAGGGCCCCGTGCGCCGCAGGATGAGCTGCACGTCGCTCGCGTACTGCCCCCACTTGTTGAGGGACACGATGGGGTTCTCGTGAGGCGCCAGCTGCCGCTCCGTGTCCCTCCACTTCTCGATCAGCGTGTACCGCCCGGTGCGCCCTGCGAGAGGAGACAGCGTCAGCACGGGACGGTGGGACCTCTCGCTCGGCCCGCGGGGCGCAGAGCCCCCGAATGTGCCCACCCGTGTCACTGCTCTGCTGTCTGCACAGCACTGAGCCCACTGCTCCGGCCCAGGGAAACCTCTCAGTGCAGGGAGAGAACTGTAGTACTGAGGAAAGATTCGCACACAAGTGAAACTGCATGACACATACAGATTCTTGATGAATCTTTCGTGATGGTAATATTATACGGTAGATGTGGTGTTCCCATGCTGGGGAACATATAGTAATCATAGAATCACAGAACAGTTTGCGTTGGAAGGAAGCTTAAAGGTAACCTAGTTCCAACCCCTGAGATGGGCAGGGACACCTTCCACCAGCCCAGGTTGCTCAGAGCTCCATCCAACCTGGCCCTGCACACTGCCAGGGATGGAACAGCCACAGCTTCTCTGGGCAACCTGTGCCAGTGCCTCACCACCCTCATCGCCAAGTGTTCAAGCCCAGCTTGGATGTGGCTCTGAGCAATCTGGTCTAGTGGAAACCCCATGGCAGGGGTTGGAATGAGATGATCCTAAAGGTCCCTTCCAATCCAAACCATTCTGTGATTCTGTGATCCACAGCTTCTCTGGGCAACTTGTTCCAGTGCCTCACCACCCTCACAGCAAAGATTAAAGTGACCCAGCAATGTTGGTAACCACAACATAAATATACCCAATGCACATCTCTATAGGAAGAAAACAAGGTAAGGCGTTACACATCTTTCACACAGCCACATAGAAATATCAAAATCTGGAGGCAGTGTATTCGCTATTAACCTGTTTCATCACTCAGAGGCAGCTGTAAATGACAGACAAAACCTCAGTTCCCCACCCAGTGGTCCCCAGTTCACTCAGGCCCTGAGGACAGCCAGCCTGGGCCAGAGCAGTGTGACAGCAGCTCACACAGCCTGTGGCAGCACTGCTGACGTGACCAACCTTCACTGAGCAGAGCACAGGCACGAGAGCAGCAGAGCCTGCCTGAACTGCAGACAAGCAACTGGGCTCCCTGCACAGGCTCCTCATCTCTAACAGCAGCTCCCACATCCTCCCCCGGGGTACTCAGCCTTCAGGAAGCAGCTCCAGTCCTTAAATAACTGCTCTGAGTTCTTCTGAGCTCTGTTGACAGCTCATCATACACAGAGTGCAGTGTGCTGTGCTTTTTGGGCAGGGCAAAGCACAACTTATGTTTATGGCTTCACTTGTGCTGCTACCAAACATTCTTAAATTCAGCTCAGCAGTCTTCTTCCTCTGACACCCCTCATGGGGTGCTTTGGATGCTATGAAAACACAGCATTTGAGGTTTCTCACTACCAGTATTTTTTGCAAGCACACTCACTACTCTGAGATACAGCATTCTCCAAACAAAGAAGAGAGTTACCCTTTACCCTGAAAGGGACTTCACTTAAAAGCCACAACATTGTTTACATGAAGATGTGAAAGATCAACTGCTTTTAAAGCATGTGATGCTAATGAGTTTCTGAACAGCTCCTGGATTGCCATTAACCTTAAAAACATCATTAGCTACTTTAATGCATTACATACATCCATTTCCATGATAGATGATAATTCAAATGATTTATTTCAGCACATAAATATGTCATATATGCAACTATGGAGTGGAGGAGTCGGAATAAATGCAGTTATCAGTGGTAATCCATTTGATGCATTTGCTTTCCTGCCCAACCACCACACTTTTCCCAAGAAGACAAAAACCACAGAATCACAGAATGTTAAGGGGTTGGAATGAACCTTAGAGATCATCTAGTCCTAACCTCCTGCCCTGGGCAGGGACACCTCCCACCTGACCAGGCTGCTCAAGGCCTCATCCAATCTGGCTGTGAACACTGTCAGGGTTATGTAGATCCTAATCGCAGGCTGGAGATCTGCCCCCAGCCTCCAATCACAACACTCATGTGGACTTCCCCACCTCAAATTTGTAGGAGATAAGCTCCACTGTGGTAACTAACAGCCCCCTAAAATCTGACATTGCCTTATAAAGAGCTTCTTGAGATTCAACTCCTGTGTTGGAAATGGAAATTCACAATTAGCTCACAGTACAGAGAACAACAACAAAAATCAGCTGCAGAGGCACCGCCTAGAGACCAGCCTTTGGCTCGTGGCTCATACTTGAGGTACTTGGCTGGCCAAGTCACAGACCAAAATGTCCATGTTCACTTCCAAGTTAGGAGTGAGAGCTGAAAGATTTGACTGATAGAAGTCAGCAAAACAAGGCAGGCAGCATGAGAACAGCAATCCTGAATGCCTCACAAATAAATGACTTGAGGTAGGCAAAAGGTAGGAAAAATAGAAGAGGGAGAAAAAAAGAAAATCCAAAATCTATCAGCATACCAACATGCTAGGCCAACACCCTCAGAAACAGATTTAAGGTTTATTGTAATAAAGTACTTCAAAACCAAGTTTACTACACTAAGATATAAAGTGAGAGATTTTTGCCAACTCAAAATATTGTTCATAGATGCATGAAGATTTATAGTGTTATTACATTGGTGTTATTACAGAAAAAAGAAACCTAGTACTATTTGCCATAGCACACTAACAAGAAAATCCTAGAGAAGAAAAATCAAGCAAAAACCTACCCCAGAACCAGGACAAAAGTTGCACTTCACTGCTCTGTTTTGTTAATCTCAGAGGCTTTCAGCTTGCAATCATGGGTGTGCTACTAATGTTCCTGTTGAGTCAGAAACACTGGAGTTCAAAGGAGTCTGGAAATTGCAACCAGAAGTAGGTACCACTAGGGGAGCAAGCAGTATGTGATTTCTATCCACTCTGCTATTAACTGCGCTACTTACAAGAAATGCAACAAGAGAGGGAAAAAAAAGGGGGAGGAGAATAAAGCCCTAACAACCTCAACCAAAAGTGAATTAAAGAAAGCACTTGCCAAGAACTATTTCCATCTTAGCTCAGGGTTCCAAAGCAACACACAGCCCTAAATAATGAACTCAGTACTCAAGATCCACATGAAAGAAAGTGTTTTGTAGAAGCAATACACAGTTCAACTGCCAGACCTGGAGTTCAGGATTGGCCTAAAACACAGCTGTCCCTGGCCAAGATCATTACCTGGCACAGTGCTCAGCCTATGTATCACACAGGCTAATAATACCTGGACACCCACAACTAGGATGTTTGCTTGCATTAGAGGGGATTAATTCACAAATGACAGGATGAGTGAGTTAATTCAGAACTAATGACAGAGTATTTCAGACCACAGGCGTCCCTGTAACTAACTGCTGTGTTCCATGTGCTGCCACTGACATGGAAAAAGCAACTTGCTTGGGTTGTTGACAAAAAAACAGTTGAATGCCTGCATGCTGCTTCTTGCCTTGATTTTGGACACAAAAAGCACCTGGCAGAACTCAGTCCAGCCTCATTCATGCAAACCTTATCACTAAAAAAATGAAGCCACAGCTGTATTCAGGCGATGCACCTTGTATCAGCAATGCATGGCACTCCTTAAGCTCTTTCTCCCAGCTGCACACTGTGTGCACACTGAATCTCAGGCAGAATTATTCAGTATTTCCAAGCAAAGTTCTGTGAGCAGTTCAGCAGTCAATTCAAGGAGCAGCCAAAGCTCAGCTTCAGTTACTGCACTGATGTTCACGTGGGTGTGTCTTGTCAGCGGATCCCTCACAACTTCTGAAATCAAACTTTTCTATAAGAATATGTACAACTAGAACATAGTAGACCTTTTTTTTCTTTTTAATACTTCTATCAAAGCCTTGTATTAATGAGACTGGTAGAAAACAATCCAGACAGCACCAAACAAGCACCAGCAGAGCTGTGTTCTATGGTTTCCACTTCAGAAAACAGCAATTCTGGGGCTGGAGAAAGCACAAAGCCTCTACTCCCTATTCCATGCCCAGCTGCTTTGTGGGCAGCAGGTGAGGGAAGGGATTCTGCCCCTCTGCTCTTCCCTGTGAGGGTGGTGAGGCACTGGCACAGGTTGCCCAGAGAAGCTGTGGGTGCCCCGACCTTGGAAGTGTTCAAGGCCAGGTTGGATGGAGCTTGGAGCAGCCTGGGCTAGTGGAAGGTGTCCCTGCCCATGGCAGGAGTTGGAACTAGATGATGTTTAAGGTCCCTTCCAACCCAAACCCGTCAGTGATTCTATGATTACTATATGGTCCCCAGAACGAGGACTCTGCATGTACCATATAATACCACCAACTCAAAGCAGTCATCAAGAATTTGTATCTGTTTTGCAAGACTACAAATGACAAGGTATAACAAAAGCAGTTATATATTTACATCTATAAAACACACTGTTTCTGCACAAAGGGCCAGTGTCAAGGGTAACCTGTTAACACTTACAGCTCCCTAAGCACACAAACTTATCACAGGTTCTGTTAACACAGAAACATCTTCAAAACAGTCTTTTATTTTAACATTGAGAAAGAAATCCAAAAGGGAAATACACAGACTCCAGAACGTTGATGTTCTGACAGCTTGCAACTAGCTGTCATGAGAGGTCTGAACCAAGCTCTGATGACACCAGTTACGGCTTGATCACTGAGAGACTAAAGAGCCACTGCAGCCCATGTCCTGCATGTGGCTCTGCTGCAGAGCCAAACAGCAAGCTCTGGACCCAAGTGCCCATGCCATGTGCCCAGCCACTGCAGTCTTAGCTTGGGATTGATCTAATTTTGTAATTTAGACACAGATTCCATCACAATGAACAGTTATTAAACTAATGAAATATAGGAACAAGGTAATTGAACATTTTTTTTAGACTCTCAAGAGGCAGAGCTTTAAATTACACTCCAGGAGGGTAGAGTAAGACCCATATAACTATTATTCACTTTAAGCTTCTCTATATGCTTTAATATTTGCAGCTGACACAGTAGACATGAGCTACTACCACTGCTGCCAAAAGTGGAAATGAAACTCCAAAGGAAAGCAGCAGTAGCAGTGTATCTCATGCAACACTTCTGGCAGGACTGTAACCTGA